TATAAGGTGGTATTAAAAAGGTCTTAAAAAGTCTTAAATTTAACTTGTTCAAGTCTGCAGAAACCCTGTGTAAATTAAACAATTTTATTATATACAAAGATTTATTTATTAATGTGTAATTATTTTTTTCAAACAGATTATGAAAAAGGAGCTCTAAAATATTTTTTACAACTCTTTTGCTTTGGAACATCTACAAATGTTAAATCTTGTTAAAAATGTTTATGTTGCCACAGCATTTGTCTGAAAAAAATGCAAATGAAAAAAACTTTATTATTGTTTATTTAATTCTAACAAGTTTTTGTTAAAAACAACCAAAATTAAAAAGTATTTGTTTCTAATCTCTGCAAAGGAAATACTTGGTGTTGTTTTCAAACAAAAGGAAATATATCGGTATCTGCATCGTCTATCGGTCAAAATGAGTTAAAAAATATCAGCATATCGGCAAAAATCCAGTATTGTGCATCCCTAGTGCACACGTACACACGCTCACGTCTGTCTGCTCTCTGCAGATCTGGATGAGTGTGTGGCCAACGGTCGCATCTGCAACAACGGCCGCTGCGTCAACACGGAGGGCAGCTTCCACTGCGTGTGCAACGCCGGCTTCGAGATCTCAGCTGACGGAAGGAACTGCCAAGGTGAGACGTTCAGCCGAGTCCCACGATGCACTGCAGTTTACAGACGCACATGAATGCATTCGATAGTGACAGAAACTAGACTAGACGTCTTAATTTTCACACTAGTTCACTGTCTGTTTTTAACTATTTCCCCGCCAGCATTTTTGAAAAAAGTTGCCAGCCACCGCCAGCGATTTTGATGATTTTCACTAAAACTTTATGGCCTCCAGTATATTTTGCTGTATGAATATTTGAATATGCAAATCAGATCAGAGCCTCTACTTTTAAACAAAAAAAATCTGTTTTATTCTAGCTTAAAGCATTCTTTTTTTTATCAACACTTGAATATAGGTAGGTTTCATAAAAAATTCATAATTTTGAGCAAAAAGGTGAGAAAATCACGTTTTTATCAAAAACTACATCTGGATAATATTCAGTACGATTATCAAAGCATAAATCCAGTAAATCGCTTCCATCAACACCTCCAAAGCTTGCACAGACATATACCACTTCCTGGATCAACATTTTACTCTGTAACTTTATGCAGTTTTCATTTATATGCTGTCTATTGCTGATGATCGCATTATTTTTCATATGCATCTGTTTACATAAGAGATCGCTCGTTTCTCCATCCTGTTCACGTGTGTTTTTGTTCGGGAGGTTTTGTACTCGTTCAGAAGATGTGTAATAGCACATAGCACATAGCGTTCAAGTTAAAATAAGTTTAATTTTTATAAAAAGTCTCGAGACCTTGTGTTTTTCCCCCATTGCACTTCCTGCGTCTTGTGTTTTTCAAAGCAAAAGCGTGTTCTGTCTGAACGGCCTCTTAGTCTGTATTCTTTTTGCATATTTAGGTCTGTTTATATTTTTTCAAAGGGAATATAATATGCAAAGAGAATGTTAGAAATAAAAAGTAAATTCAGAAAGCAGGCATTATATGTAAGTCCTTGAAAAGATTGGTGCTAGAAAAAGTGCTGGATATGCATGAGGAGATGCTTGTATGAACTCTGTTGAAGTGTTTGTGTGTGTTGCAGACACTGATGAGTGTTTGATAAGGAACATCTGTCTGAACGGCATGTGCATCAATGAGGATGGCAGCTTCAAGTGCATCTGCAAACCTGGATACTTGTTAGATGGTACTGGACGGTTCTGTGTGGGTAAGTACACACACACACACACACACATCACACACACACACACACACACACACACACAGTCACTAACCAGCCCTAAACCAAAACACAAAGATCAGAATCAGAACATTAGTGAGGACTTTTTCACATATTTGGGCCTCACAAGCGCAGACAAACCTAAACACGCACACATCTGAAGTCATGCATATGATGTACTTGCTCATTAATGATTTGTATAGTCTCAAGAGGAATGAGTCTAGAACACAGGAAACCACACACACTCTC